AGTTTCGTGGAAGACAATTTTTTCATGGGGGGTAGGGCGGGGTGGGGTGGGGGAGGGTAGGGCTGGGCAGGGCGGGCTGCAGCAGGCAGATCTCAGATCTGTCTCCCATCAGCGCCCACAGCGGCACCCACCACAGAGGGCTCGGCAGCACTTTGCATCCTGCTGACCTACAGGAGCCATGGCTGGAAGAGGCAGTTGCCTGTGGGCAAGGGATCCCGTCTTCCAGGCTTGCCTGGCATCCCTGGTGCCCATACAGCCTGGAGGTTCAGGGCTGCCCAGTGCCCCCTCGAGAGGAAACATCAGCACCCACCTATGGGCAGCTGGCTAAGCCCTGGAAGGAGAGTCCCAGTCCCAGTTACCAACCTCATTTCTGTAATTGCTTGTGATGATTTCTCTTTGCATGGTTTCATTTTTCTGGGTGGATTCAGTGGTGTTTTCCCATTGTCTATCAGATCTGCGGCAAAGGGAATCTTTGATGCTACCTAGGAAAATGCAAGGAGATGATTTCAGCAATCCCAGTAGAGGCTGTTTTCCCACGAGGCTCACCTGCCAGGTGTGTTAGGCTCGCTGCTCGTCCATGAAGAGGTGGGTCCGAGGCTGCCCCGGGTAGATGGTCTCTGCACAACACGGTCATCCCGCAGGTGTCCAGGCAATGCAGTCATGCCCCAGGTGTCCATGCAATGCAGTCAAGCCCCAAGTGTCTACGCAAAACGGTCATGCCCCGGGTGTCGACACAACGTGGTCATGCCCCGGGTGTCCACGCAACGCGGTCATCCCCCCAGATATATGCACAATGTGGTCATCCCCCCAGGTCTCCACACAACATGGTCATGACCTGGGTGTCCATGCAACACAGTCACGCCCCAGGTGTCCACGCAATGTGGTCATGCCCCAGGTTTCCATGCAACACGGTCATGCCCCCAGGTCTTGACTAGCTCTTTCTCCCTGCTGAGATCTCTGTTTGACATTTTCTGAGGCCTCCCTGACAGCCCAGGCTGGGGTGGGAGGGAAAGATGCAGAGTGAGGGGACCCTGGGGGGGGCTCGGAAGGCTGCCCTGCATGTCCTTATGCCCCCATGCCAGGGTTGCCGCAGTAGCTGGCTTCCTGTAGGCATCTTTAGATGGCCCCTCTCCACAGGGGCCCCAGATCTGTTTCTGCAGCTTCAGTGCCAGAGCCTGGGAGACTTGGGGGGACCCGACACACCACCTGGTGCTGTGCAGCCGAGGCAGGAGGAGGTCAGTACCCCCAGGATGGCGGGACCAATGCTGCTTACTGCTGCGTCCAGTGGACACATCTGAGAGCCACACTGACCCCCTCCAGACCTCAGGGAGCTTTAGGCCCGGTCTGCAGTGTGTGAGTGCCTGCAGTGTGCCATGTGCAAGTGTGTGTGTGTTCCCCGGGACTGGCAGAAACCAAAGGGTAATAAAAACAGGTAGGAGGTCACCCTGGCAAAGGGGATGGGGAATGAACTAACCGGGGGCTCTTGCAGCATGGAGACTGGTAGGATCGGTTTAGCATTTACCTAGATAACGTCTGGAACTGTTCTGCCCGCCATTCTCTCCTCTACATGAATTTCTAGGGCTAAGCCCTCGTCTGTCTGGCCATTAGTTTAACCCTAGCACATGCCTGACACTTAGAAACTGTTTAGCAAGCAGAGGAGTGGAAAGACGGGAGGCCGGGAGGACGGGGGACCACCCATCGGCTGTTTCCCGTCTCTCCCACCCCACTACAGAGCCAGGCACAGGCGGCAGACACAGCAGAGGAAACTCGTGGCTGACTGTCTGAGAGCGGGGATACTTTCAGGTGATCAGAATTCTCCCAAAGATTCTTCCAACAGAAACAAAAGAAAAATGCTAAATCCTGGCTGGGTTCAGCAGCTCACACCTGTAATCTCGGCACTTTGGAAGGTCAAGGTGGGTGGATTGCTTGAGGTCAGGAGTTCAAAACCAGCCTGTCCAAGATGGCAAAACCTCATCTCTACTAAAAACACAAAAACAGCCAGGCGTGGTGGCGTATGCCTGTAGTCCTGGCTACTAAGGAGGCTAAGGCAGGAGAATTGCTCCAACCC